CGTACGTTGTATAATCAAGCGATAAATGCCTATATGTGTTAATGTGTACTTGTATGTAATGGCAAGTCCAATGCTATAGCGCAATCTTTATGCACATAAATAAAAACGCGAACCTTTCAAATAATTGTTATTTCAGAAATGAAAACGAACGAAAAAAAACTGTTGCCCAAAACGTGCAGCGCCATAAATATTCTGGCCTGAAATATTTACTACTTACAGCTAAACACGGACATTGCACGGCAATAAAAACGAAGTCGAAATTGTTGAATTTGCTAGCTGGAAAAATTGTTGAAATATTTGAAGCCTTACGGCCATTGTCCTTCGCACGTAAAAAAGGCAAAGAACAAACAAAGGACGGGCTAACAGGATGGCAGGCAGCCTGGCTGAATAGATGGCTGGTCAGAGAGGCCAGCCAATGCAGACTTAGGCCAAGTCAAGTACAGTGAAGCCTTAAGAGCTAACAAATTCAATTAGGAGTACAGTCGTACCAAGTTTGTACTTATATTATTATTTTGCTATCATTAAAACTTTTCTGAGCGAGTTTGAGGCTTGACTTGTCGTGTTATTATAGACAATTTTAGACCTGATATTCAATGAATGCTCAAAAATAAAATAAACAGAAAGAGGCTCAACTTTGGCAGGCTTCACTGTATTTGCAGGCACACATGCATATGCATTACATATGTGTGCGTGTGTGTGTGTGTGTGTATTGTGACCTGCTCCTGGCGCTGTACACTCACTTCCGCTGCAAAAATAAAGCCGACCTGACATGGACATTGGCAAAAAGGGCAAAGCAAAGCCGAGAAATTGAGAATGTTGAGAAACCACAAAGGACACACATCAACACGGGCCATCAACGAGTTGTTGTTGTTGTTGTTGTTGCTGGTTGCTTGTGTGACTGTGTGTGTGTGCATGTGTGTGTATTGCCTATAACAAAGGCGTGCCATAAATTATTTGATAGGCTGGCCCCAATTGTGAATGAGTTCTGGTCAGTTAGTCAGCTCCAGCTGAAGCTTGAGCTGCTGAGTTCAGTTGATTTGGACATTTCTTCGCCATAACCTTAAAATGTGCATACGCTTTTGCCATTTAACAATGTTGAAATTAACATATATATACACACACAGAGTAAGCCACACTCATACAGAGATTTAGATAGACATTTGGTCAGCAGGCAGGGAAAAACAGGTTAAGCTTTTTGGTTGCTTTCGCGCTGTGACTTCATTTCGAGCGCAACTGTTTGTTGTGTGTGTGTTGTGTGTGTGTTGAGTGTGCGTTGTGTGTGCTTTGTTTTGCTGTTTCTATATAGTTTCCATTTTACGCTTTGTGACTTGAAGAGGTCGTCAGCTAAATCTGGCCCAAATGCGGAGCGATGCGTAAGATGTCACCGAAAAAATTGATGAGGAAATCGACTAACCCAGACGATTACGTCTACAATATAGTATATATATATATATATATATATATATAGTATATAGCATAATTGTAATATTAACTTCACAAATATGCGTATATCAGACCTTATCAGGGCTTTGATAACAATGACGCTTATATTAATATAGCTTGTTTCGCTTATCATTCGAGCACACTCACACAGACTCACTCACACTCTGACTTGACAGTGAATCAAGCGTATAGAGAACATGACACAAACCAGCCCCAAATAAAGAAGTGATTTGGCAACGTGGGGAAACAAACAGCAGCAGCAGCAGCAGATGGAAGCAGAGCAAAAGGAATTGGCGATACAAAATACGAGAAAAACATATGCGAAAAGTAAATGGCAAATGACTTCCACTTGACGCAGCCGTGGGGCTCAAATTGACTGCTCCCCAGAGTCCCCCCACATTTCCGCTGCACTGTGTGTATATGTGTGTGTGTGTGTGTGTGTGAGTCATGGATAAGCCAAATGAATGATCGCCGTTGACATTGGCAAAGTGGAAAAGCAGTGTTTGGCTTTTGCTATTGCCTTTGCTTTGGTTGCACTTGCAACACACGTCAATTGTTGGTTTCACCTCGTGAAAATTTAGCTGGAAATGTAAAGCGTTAGTTACGTGAGTCAGTAAGTCAGTTAGTCAGTCAATCAGTCAGTCAGTTAGTCAGTCAGTTAGCCGCTCTGCAAGGCTGTCAGCGCAAAAAGTTGCTGGCGTTGCATTGAAAAACGAGGCGACCTTTGCAAAGGAAACAGCATTTGCATGAAAAACAAGAAGGCACCATTAACTAAGAATTGCCGAAGCTTAAATACCCTTCTATATATTTACTCCGTGATCTGTTCTTTTACTTAGATATAAAATGGTAGCCAATGTTGCCCAAGTAAGGTGTATGATATAGTAGACGGACATCGATAAGATTGTTAAGATCAGATATCTTCGAACTTTTTCTATATTATAGGATAGTTCCTATAGACGCTATATTATATACTAATCCGATGCGGCCGACTTTGGAATATAGCAAAACAATATATAAATCTGCAAGGTAGCTTTAAAACTCTGAGACTAAAAACAGATGTAGTCGGCTCGGATACAGTTGCTTGCCAGTGTGTTCCAGAGATGTCTCCTTCTATGCACACATATGTATGTACACACTTTTCGTAACAAAGTAATACCCTTAGCAAGGGCAAACACAGCCAAGTGCGCGACTCTATGCAAATTTTGTTATCCCGAAAATAAAGTACAAGCACATGCACACATTATATATGTATGTATGTATATATGTATTCAGCTGACTTATGCATTATTGATTGCAGTGCACACAGAAGAGACAAAGCTGAAATAAACCCCCCCTGTAAATGCAAGCTCTCTAGCTATATCTTATTTACTTGACTTTAGAGCTAATTTTTGTAATACTTACCGCGCCGATTGAAGGGTCGCACCCGCACAGCAACTTTGATCTTATCACTTGACATCGTGCAGGCCTTGGAGATACTCTCACTTTTGATTCAATGGACGTCTATGCGTGTGGTTTGAGTGGGTGTGAGAGCGTCTGAATCATGCACCCACCAAAAAGGGATATGACTGGGACGGTTGTTGTTTTGTTGTTGTTGTTGTTGTTCTTGTTTTAGGCTGATATTCAGTTTTGTTTTTGTATTGAGCCCGCCGAGAATTATGTGTGTGGCACGCAATCTTTTTTATTGTTGTTTTTATTTTATTTTTTAGGGTGGCAGGTGACTCACAATGCGAGGGGGAGGATGGGCGCTAGCTCAAGCTTGAATAGTGAGCGTTTCAATTAGCGCCACGCACACGACTAACAGTAGCTGTAGCTGGTACGTCATGTGGGGCGGAGTGCAAGCGGGGGGCTGTATTTCCATTTCATTCTTGACTTGCGCTATTTATTACGCACACACACATATATTTATACATGTGTACACACTGGTAATTTTTGTTATTGTTTGTGTTACTGTGCTGGAATTTTATATGTATTTGCACTCGTTTTTATTTGGGCAGACGCTTAAATATTTGCCTAAAATTACTACTGCTGTTGCCTAATTATGTTTATTAACATAATTTCATTAACTGGCTTTTGAAAATACAAATTAGGATCGCGCACACACACAAGCACACAGTAAAAATCGCAAATATTAACACACACATTCATTCACGTACAAATGCTTAGCTGGACTTTTGGCAAGGAAACAGGCAAAAAAAAAAACAAGCACTGGGCGCTCCACCGACGCCCGCGCGAAAAATCTCCCTCTTGGCCTTTATGACTGTGACTTCGTTGGAGAATCGATTTTTATGGCTCTTTTTCTGAAGCTGCTATTTTATGCTGTGCAGGATGTGTTCTCGTATAGCTGTTTCATTTACAAATTGCACCGTTTTATGTTTTCGTTTGCGCGTCGTTTGACAGTATTTAAAACTATTTTTGTTGCAATTTTATTTTTCGCGTCGTTTCACTTTAATTTTTGCTATTTTATAATGGTTTCTCGACCTGCTATGACTGCCGATAGCGATTGACATTATTTGCAATTCCAAAGCAACTCTAGCCACAAAGCTGCCACCTAATTGAGTGTGACCGCACAAATTTCAGGTAATTATCTGCAGCGTTGCCACCTAGTTGCATTTGTAGCGCGCGCGTTTTATTTATATTTAAAGACGATACTCAACGTTCATTTGTATACAAAGCACAGAAAATAATATCAAAACCGCATGGCTTACTTAAATACATTAAAATCGCATAATAAGTCGATATTTAAGTGCGAGCAGAAAGGAAAGGTGTTGGATAAAAACTGAGAGTACTGAATAAAGAGTGAAAAGAGTTAAAAAAAGAAAAGAGAAACTATATATCATCTATGTCGCCCCTATTTAAATTTATAAGAATCTCTTTTCGTTCTCACACTCTTACTTTCACTTTCTTCCGCTCCCACTCTCTCTCTCTCTCCCTCACTATCTTTTTGGGAGATTTTCAAATGCTTAAATAATCCTAACAGATCTTTATGTTACTTAAAGGCAGTTAAAAATTAAATGAATAAAGACAACGTAATTGAGTATTGTAAAAAGACACTTAGTGAATAAAATAAAATAATTAAAAAGTAATACATAGTATTGTAAGTGCGTTCCATTACGATATGTCGACCGGGCCTTAAAATATTGTAATGGTTTTATTTAGTGCGCTTTTAATAAAGTGCGTGCGGCTATTTAGGCCGCACCTTCAGATTTGCGGAAATAGCGCTTGCCCGTTATCAAGGCAGTGCAATGAACGGATGAATCTGTCAATGATAAACAAGAACTGCACGCCACAACCTTGTGAAGTACCGCAGATCATCTCAGTAGCAGCGGCTCGGAAATGCACGCCGGTAATTGTTCAGACAGACGAAATGACAACAAATGTGGAGTTGCGAAAAAAAAGTCACCACGAAACCTGAAAACGTTTTGTTTTGATGGCGCTGATGATGAAGTGTTACGCTTGTTGTTGTTGTTTGTTGTCGTTTACGTGGTTGTTGTCGCTCAATCTCTTGTAGCGACAGAGCGGCGGCTGATGCTGCTACCTGTTCACGTGCTGCCGTGCGGTCTCAGAGTTTATAAATGTTCAAGACGAGACGCAGGGCGCAGCAGTTTCTCGGTAAACCTCAGACGTGCGCAACCCATAGCAAAAATTAAGCGAATTTAGATTAAGTTTTAATGTTGCTTTTTTGTCTGCGATGTTATAATATTTTTTATATCGTGCACACGCAAAGACAACGAATGCTCCATAAATGCAATAAAGTCAAGATATAAAGCAATACAAAAGAAATTTTATGTGCAAATTTAAGAAAAAAAAAACTCCAACGAAAGTGAAGTACAATTTAAATTGGAATATTTGTGCAAACACTAAATAAGTTCACTTTTCTTAAAGTAAGTCTCAGCTGATAATCAAAAACTTAAAAGTCTATAAAAATATGTGGCCCAGTTTCCATTGCATCCAAATGTGCTGCAATATGCACTGAATAAGCACTACCAAAGTCAGTGCATATTGACTAAGGTCTAAGCGCTTGAGTGAGAAACAAAAACCATAATAATAATATTTGTAAAGATCGACCCATATGCATAATCTGCAGAGGAGTACTGCCAAAGTGCCCAATACCGATTCCATTATTAACACCCGAACGCAACATCAATCGTGAAATCAAACGGGCTGCCATGGTTACAAAATCACAAAATATATCTTGTTTTTTTGTTTATAAACTTGCCAAAAATGGGCATTATTGAAACGGATCCCACTAAAGGTGAAGGTGCCGGCTCATTTGCATAGCATATATACAAGACAAAAAAAAAAGTTTCAAAAAAGAGATGCAAAACCCAAAGGCGGTTCGCCCTTGAAATGGTTTCATCGAAGAGCAATTAACTAACCAGCTATCGAAACGGGCTTACAGCGAAAACCATGTCAGGCTACATAAGTAAAGCGCACACTATACCACACTATATATACATATGAGTTATATATGAGTTTTTATGAATTGGATTTGATTTTTTTTTTGCACAAGTCACACGAGCGTACAATTTGCTTTGGCCGCAGGGCTTCAATTTGGCCAAATCTCCCGCATGGGCTGAACAACTGTGCAAATATTGAAAATTACTTCTTAAAGCTAAAAGTATTTACCGAAAACTGATCATAATTCAATTTATAATGAAAGGCAAATATTTTACATCATATGCCTAATAATAAGCAGAGACAGGAATCTTAGAAGCAATCGGAAATGTCACTTGGGATTGATTAGTGGAGTTTTAAGCTAATGAGTTTTGCTTGTTATAAAAGAGAGAAAAAAATAACAAAAACCTTTGACAAGTACAGTAAAGCAATGAGTTTTTCGTTGAACGAATCGCAGACGGTGCACTTGGAGGCAATAATATTGGCAAGTTCGAATTTGACAGACACCCCAATAAACCTTCAAGTGACTTGTGATTTTAATTGTTTTTGATTTTATGTGTTTGGTTTTTTTTTTGTTTGTACCTAACTGATCCGCTGCAGTATATAAACATATACATGGCTACGTCATGAGTTGGCATTGAAGCGCACTTACGATCTGCCTAAAAACTGGGTGAGGGGGTAATTGATATTTGAACTTGATTTGTTTGCCTTAGAGCCGTACAATCTATGGGCCATTGTCATGAACAGTATCGGGTGCAAAGCTCTTAATGAGCAGCTATTTGTTAAATTTGGACTCTTGGATAAAACGGGGATTTCACAAACACTCACACTTTCAGTTCCGGTGGGAAGCGCACAAGTGCTGAGTGTATGTCCCACTCCGAGCTCCACTAATTGTATTTGCATACGCCGTGTACGAAAGTGGCCTGAAACAGAAAAATAAACAGTTACCGCTTGTAATTGACAGCAAAGTGAACACTCGAGTATATTCATGAGCGTACTAACCATAACATTGACAATGCAACTAACTCATTAAGTTTTTTTGCAGTTATTGCCGCTGACGATAGCGGTCCACACGATATGCAGCGATACGGATATGGTTTAGCATTAGCTCTAAGCCTGAGCCTGATCTTTGCTTGTACTGGCAAACAGAACGATTCAACGCTACAGCTCCGTCCATATAGTCATACGATTCTGAATGGCAGCAGCAGCAGCAGCAATGTCTGGTCGGAGAAGGACTTGGAAGTGACAGTCACGGCAAGCGATCGCGTTCCGATTGACAGACATGAAGCACAGCTGGCGCACAGCTCTGTCATCTATGGGTTAGCAGAAGTGGCCAACACGAGCAACGTGAATGCCATCTGCCATGCGCAGTTGAAGCACGTGCAGCGAGGGATCCTCAACAAACAGCCTTGGGCTATGAAAGGTGATCATTATTTTAATATGGCAGGCAAACAGATCTTTTAATTTTTGACTGTTTAAGATCTTTAAGAGCTTACCTTTCCTTTTGCAGTGCTTGATGCCTCTGGCGCCAAGTCTTCGGGTTTTGTTTTTGGCCAAAACTATTGGCTGGGCAGTCGGGAGGGCTGCAGCAGCGTGCAGCGACCGATGGCAATAACGTTATCCAAGAACTATGAGCGTATTATGCACCATGGCCTCATAACGCAGCAGGCGCCCTTTGGCATGGACTATCGTGTGGTCTATTTGCGACACAATTCGCCCTGGCAGGTGGAAATAAAGCTAATGTCCGAACAAATCCTACACATTGGCCTGTGCCTGCCCAGCGTGTGCCAGTCGAGCGAGATCCAGCAGCTGACCAGAGATTATGTTGCGGGCAGCTTCAAGGAGAACGACATCTTTGAGCTGCAGCCCGAGGTGCTATATGTAAAGGATCTGAAGCTGCGCGACGTTTTCTATGATCGATTGAGTTTCAAGCTTGTCGTCGGCTTTGTGCTGGCCACCTGCGCTTTCATGCTCTGCGCCCAGCAGCTCAGCGTGGCCAAGCAGCTGCCGCCGGAGGGGCATGAGGATGGTGTCGGTCTGGCGCCAGTTGAATCGGAAATATGGAGAGCTTTGCACTCTATGCTGCAGTGGCGTCCGTTGCAAAGCTTTGTCAGCTGCTACGATGTGGTTAGCAATTGGCGAAGAATCTTTGCCACGCGCGAGAGCAGCCCCTCGCAGATACCCTTGCTCAATGGACTGCGTTCCGTGTGTGCCATTTGGATATTGATATTTCATGTCGTTTGGTTTATGTACTTTACGGTGCACAACAAAACGGAGCTCATATCCTATGCCGAGCAGATCTTCTTCCAGTATGTTTCCTCCGCGCCACTGCTGGTGGATGTCTTCTTTACCATCAGGTGGGTACATGGCACGGCGGAATGTGCGCCTGATCTAATCCTCGACTGTTTGCAGTGGCTTCCTGCAGACCTACAATTTTCTGCGCAACGTCAAACAAATGGAGGCAGTGCGTCAAAATGGTCTTATGGCCAATACCAAGCTCTTTGGCAAGCTGCTCTTCCATCGCTACCTGCGACTGGGCCCGCTTTACATCATTATCATTGGCAGCGTGGATTTGGTATTCGCTTACATTGGCGACACTTCCGTTTACCACATTCATGAGCGCTTCGATGAGCTGTGCGCCCGGCATTGGTGGCGCAATCTGCTTTTCATACAGAATCTCTTTGATCTGCAGGACATGTGCGTCAATTGGAGCTGGAGCGTGGCTTGCGATATGCAATTCTTTTTGTTGGCCAATGCGATTTTGTTCCTCTATGCCAAGTGAGTATTGACTTTCTCTTATCTTGATGTGTTTTTTATCGAAGCTTTGTTTTCAGACGTCCCAAGTGGGCGCGACTTGTTGCAGTCGCTGGCTTGCTGGCAACCATCACCTGGTCCTATAGCATTGGCATCAATTCCAAGTTTGAGTTCTCCTTCGATACGGTCTATGGCACGGGCACACAGATCTATATAAGTCCGTTTGTTCGGGTGCTGCCCTATATTGTTGGCTCCATGGCCGCCTGGTGCTTCCTGAAGCGCCGTCTGCGATGCAAGTTGAGCGATATGCAGCAGCGCTGGCTCTGGCACTTCTGCCTGCTGGTCTTCTTCATTTGCATCTACTCGACCGTCAAGCGTGACTTTGGCCATCTGGTTACCATCTCATTGTTTGTACTGGGCCGAGTGGCCTTCTCGCTAAGTGTTTGCTGGATGATTGTTGGCAGCGCCACGGGGCGTGGCGTTTGGTGGTCTCGCTTGTTGGAGGCACGATGCTTTCAGCATATGAATCGGTTGTCCTATGCCATTTATTTGCTAAATCCCATGGTGATTGCACTCGTCTACGGCCTGACAAACTCCAGCACTCATGCGGATCCCTTAATGCTGGTACGTAATGTAATTGTTGTATAAATTATTATTTTATTTTCGGGCAATTGCAGTGCGTTGTCTCCTGCGGCTTCACAGTGATTGTTTACCTGACGTCCATTGTCTTTTCAATGGCATTCGAGCTGCCATACAGCAACTTGTCCAGTTTGTTGTTGAGTAAACCAAAAACTACCTAACTTGTGATCATCTGTTCTGTGAACAATGCTTTATAAACAACTAAGTGCGTTTAGTATACCTGTTAAATATGTACATAATCAACGTAGCCAGTTTATCAACATAATATAATATATATATGTAATAATTATAAGTATTACCACTAACCAAATAACATATAGACCGGACAAACCGTACTTTTGAGGGTGACATTCGATATTTCTGCGGCTGGTCCAAACTCGCCTTCGTTTTTGTTCGGGTTCGAGACATGCCCGCATGCTCTCAGAAGCAAGAGAGTAAGAATACATATGGCCTGTGTCGGGGAACGGCAACGCTGTCTTTTTACTCGCTCACTCTACAAGAAACTGCTGTGGCTTACTCTCATCCATATGATTTGTGCGATAGAACGGCATCGCTGTTTTTTATCTCGCTCCCACTACAGGAAACTGCTTTGGCTTACTCTCAATGCTCTTTCAATTTGTCTATGTACCGTTTAAATGTTTGTGTGTGTATTTGTCCGCACAAGCAAAAATGCCCAGAAATTCAATTTTTCTCAAAAGTCGGTGGCATATCTTCCCTTTTGACGGGACGAGTAATATGAAATAATGAAAGGGTTTGCCAAGTCGATGCGAAATTCTTTCTTTTTAGCTCGTTCTTTTTCGAAAGGGTACCTAAGCGTTGGCATGTGTGCATTTAAAAGTTTTTGGACTTGCTATTCACGCATATACGCATGTGTGCCTGTTGGTCCCTGCCTGCCTGTCCGATCCAAATTTGACAATATTTTTGGACTTCTGAATTTCGAGCTCTACACACACACACAGAGACACAAATGTGTGTGAATGGGCTGATCATGGGCGCAAAATTTAACTACCTGTAGATCAAATTCATATATGAAAAAGCTAAATATTTTAAGACAATAAAATTATTAATACTATCAGTATATAATTGCTCCTAAAATTAGTTAAGTGATCAGTCACTTGACCTACATATGCAGGTGCAGGTGTTTGCCAAAAGTTGACCCTTTCGGCCCAACGGGCTGCTGCAGGGGTCAACATTCATTCATCAATTCAAGCCCTAAATGATAAAAAGAAGGGCGCGCGACAGACGCGTGCCAATAATGATATTTTTAAATTTTGCGCCCATGATCAGCCCATTCACACACATTTGTGTCTCTGTGTGTGTGTGTGTAGAGCTCGAAATTCAGAAGTCCAAAAATATTGTCAAATTTGGATCGGACAGGCAGGCAGGGACCAACAGGCACACATGCGCATAAATGCTTCTATTCATATACAAAATATGTTAGTATGCGTGAATAGCAAGTCCAAAAACTTTTAAATGCACACATGCCAACGCTTAGGTACCCTTTCGAAAAAGAACGAGCTAAAAAGAAAGAATTTCGCATCGACTTGGCAAACCCTTTCATTATTTCATATTACTCGTCCCGTCAAAAGGGAAGATATGCCACCGACTTTTGAGAAAAATTGAATTTCTGGGCATTTTTGCTTGTGCGGACAAATACACACACAAACATTTAAACGGTACATAGACAAATTGAAAGAGCATTGAGAGTAAGCCAAAGCAGTTTCCTGTAGTGGGAGCGAGATAAAAACAGCGATGCCGTTCTATCGCACAAATCATATGGATGAGAGTAAGCCACAGCAGTTTCTTGTAGAGTGAGCGAGTAAAAAGACAGCGTTGCCGTTCCCCGACACAGGCCATATGTATTCTTACTCTCTTGCTTCTGAGAGCATGCGGGCATGTCTCGAACCCGAACAAAAACGAAGGCGAGTTTGGACCAGCCGCAGAAATATCGAATGTCACCCTCAAAAGTACGGTTTGTCCGGTCTATATGTTATTTGGTTAGTGGTATTACTTGCTAACCAAATAAAGAAAACCAGCCGATTTTAAAAACTGAACTAAAGTGTTATCGATAAGTGCAAGGCATAATTTCTTATTGGCGGGCAGCGACTGTGTGTGAAATTGCGTTCGCAGCCAACTTCATGCTGCGCAAAATTGATCGAAGGCGATTTTTACTGGCGTCACGTGAAGTTGGCTGCAATTGTAGTTTTATTTTAAGAACGATGCGCGCCAAGTGAAAGTTTGAATTAAATCTACATCGATTAAAATAATTGAAGGCTGATTTCCCTCGATCAGTCTGAATAAACATATTCAATATACATTACAATTAAGCTAAACATTTATATTCAGTAATATTTACAACACTAATTACATATACATGTAAATCGTAGAATCTATACGCTAGGAATGTGAGTGTGTGTGGGTGAGAGTGTGTATGAGTGGGTGGATGTATTCAAGCTCCTCCACGCAACATGGCACGACATCTAATGAGTAGCAGCACAAAACAAGCAACGTCATCACTAAAAAACTAATCTTTAAGATAGTGCTCCAACGGATTTGATCCCAGGAGCCGCGATGTGGCCGTCTCGTCTAAAAGAAATGATGGGATTAGCAGATGTTTAAGGTGGGCCAACTAGGGCACTCACTTGATCGTGCCGGCTTTGCAGTGGTGGTGCTCTCCGTTCGCTGTGATTGCAGACAGTTCAACCACTCGGACAACGAGATTTTCTTATCGCCATTCGCATCACAGTAGCGAGGCATTTTCTTGCCGCATTTGCTCAAGTTGCTGCAGCGGAAGATTAAATATAATTTAAAGATCCTAATTTTAAAGAGGAATTTATTCACCTGGCGCTGGTGACCAGATCACGGAACACCTTCCATTCTTTGCGCTCCCACGACTTGTTTTTGTTCTTGTCCAGGAAGACAAAGCTCAGCGTGGCAATGCGCTCATCCTCCGACTTCCACATGGTCGAGTTTCTATGGAACCAAATGTATGTGTTAATTATGTGCTGATTATTTATCTGTTTATATTTTCCGCTTACCCAGTATTGCTGCTGGGTAGTATCTGTGTGTTGAGGAACTCCTTGAGCTCCTTGAGGAATTGCGTTTTACGGGGCTCTGTGCAGCCTTTCATGGGTCGCACGGCGGCGACCTCGTCGCATTGCGGTCGCTTTTGGCCAAATGTGCCCGGTATATTCTTGCCCGTTTCCTCGTTCACACACCAGCAAATGGAGCTATAGCATTGGACGCGCTTATAGCGACCATCGGCCATGCACTCGGGCACAAAGAAGGACCTGTTGCCGCCATGCTGAAAATGAGATGCGATACAATCGAAATGATTCACCGAAAAGGGAGTGGGAACTGGGGAACTGGGATCGAGCCATTCGCACTTACGCGCTGCTCCTCGCGAGCCACTTCCCGATCCGTCCAGCAGTTGGCATCGCCTTCGCTCTCGTTGTTATTCGCCTCCGCTGTCTTGGCATTCAGAACTGTGAACGAAAGGCCCATTAGAATAGACTCGATACTGCCCTTTGGAAGCATGCCAAGTGCTATTGGATGTTACTTGGGTATTACTCAAAATTAATGGTTAGTTTATTGCCCAACAAGTACGTACAATTAAATGTCGATGGCGACAACGGGGATGTGCGTGGATGTGTCATGCTCACGTCCTCATCCTCGCCAATATAATCATCTTCGTGCTCTTCGCTCCCAATGCCAAGCTCGTGGATGCGAGACTGGCTGCTGCTGCTGCTCGAGCCGATGATATTCGTATTGGTATGGTCATGGTGGGGATTTGTATGGTCTATGTTATGCAGATTTGTGTAGTGCGTGCGGCGTGGAATTGTGGGCGATGTGATGGAGCTGATCGTTGAACCGCTGTTCACGATGTTAACTGCCGTTTTACCTGTATGGGCAGAATTTGGTAGATGGATACAAAAACGAAAACGGAAAACAACACACAAACATTCAGTTAAGCCTAATGACCGTTTACCCATGCGAAATCCCAACAGCATTTCATGCATTCTTTTCTACCACCTCTCTATGTGATTCTCACTTCCTCATTACACATGCAGTTATATATATTTACTATACTATATTTAGAGAGCTATGGGGGGAATTTGGTAGATGGATACAAAAACGGATACAACACACAAACATTCGGTTAAGCCTAATGTTTTAGCTGTTTACCCATGCAAAAGCCCAACCACATTTCATGCATTGTTTTCTACCGCCTCTCTATGTGATTCTCACTTCCTCATTACAAATGCAGTTATATTTATTTATTGTACTTTAGAGAGCTATGGGGTTAAGCCTAATGTTTTGATTGTTTACCCATTCAAAATCCCAACCCAAAAAATCATTTCATGCCACCTCTCTATGAGGATCTCACTTCCTCATTAAGCATGCAGTTATATATTTACTGTACTATATTTAGAGAGCTACTTACGATGACTGGTATCTTTGGACAGGCAATTGCTCCATTCCAGACGGGACAGGCTATCGTCTCTGTTGACATCACAGTACTTGCCAAAGGCACGTCCACAACGTCTGGGCTTTACCGCCTGTGTGTGTGCGCATACAAAATACGGTTGGAGCATATTGTTTGATCTGAGTGACGTGTACACGGCATGTGCGACAGCGTCGGGGACAGCAACTCACCCGCTTGACAAGCTTCTTGAGCTCACGCACTTCTTGTCTGTCCAGCAACTGATTGGCATTCACATCCAACTGGGCAAACTTCCAGTCGAGCACAGCGGCATCGCTAGCAGCAGCCGTTTGGGTTTGTCCGGAGCGCAATTGCTCGCTGCGAAATACCTTGATCAGATGATTGTTAAACGCCAGACGATCCGCCTTGCTGCACGGACGATGTCCCGATCCGCCGCCGACGCCGACGCTGGCACCTTCGCTGCTATTGGCCGCATCCGCATCCAGGTTGAGCTGGCGCTGCGGCGACCGACGGCGATTGTTGCGTCTGTAGGCGCCGCACTTGGGCCTGCTGCGCCGGGTGGAGGTATTCCGGATGGGCTTGCCGCTGCTGTCGCTGCACCAGCAGCCCGAATCGACCAGGCACTGTACGGCCGCATAGTTGCCATCGCTGCGGCAGCGCGGAAAGAAGATTTTCGGATTGCGTGCACGCTCCCGTCTCGCGTACTGACGCGCGACCAGGCAGCCTAAAAAAAGG